CAACGGCATAATTCTTCAGGATCTCCGGAGCTGCGAACTTCGCGACTGGTTTTGAACAGTGCGAAGAAGAATAACACTTCGCGATCGTGTGTGTGTGTGTGTGGATGTAATTGTTACGAGCAGCTGTCCTCTCTTTCTTCTCCTTTCTCTTCTCTTCTCACGAGAAGCTATCACGAATCAATTTCAAAGATCATCAGCGACGCGCACGTCTTACATCGCGCGATCCGCTCGTTTATAGCTCGTCGATGGAATTCAGGACAAGAAGCGATCCGCTCCTATTTTGATAATCAATCGGTTTCTTTGAATCTACGCGATACACGTTTGACCGCGACGCCGGCGTCGAGTCTTATACTTCGGTAAAATTTATGAGTACCGTTGTTTTTTTTTTTTTTTTTTTTATTACCAATATACACAAAATGATTGTGCGTATGTTTTTTCTTACTTTCTCTCGAGAGATATTTCCCTCGAGTGACGAGATAATTAATGACCCGTATGGAGAGGCGTTCCGCTTCCGGAAGCGGGTTTCTTCCCCCTTTCGCACCGTAATCCCCTAAATCATCGTTCGTTATGTATCCGTGCGCGCGCGCGAAATTGCGCGAGAGAGGTCGGTTCGAGAAGAACTGTTATAAACTTTTCTTTTCTCTCCGGTGTGCCTTGCTGTCTCTCGTGTAGCGCGGACACGTTGCTTCCTGAGGCGGGGCCTTATACTCGCGAGACTACTTTGTGGTGTTGCTGATTGCCCGGCATAAAATTTGTCGTAACCGAGGAATTATCTGTCGGCCGATACGGGGCTAATTTTGTGGAGCCGTGTGTAATCTGTTGAGTTTCGCACGTCTGTCGTCTGGTCGCTCCAATTTTACGACGCCCGCACTCGCCGTGTTAAAAAGAATCACACCTTGCGCATTATTTAATTTTTACTTTCTCATACATGTGTGTGTGTGTGTTTGTGTGTGAAAATATATATGAAAATAAAATAAACAATTATCAAGATATTAACTCTCTGTGCGATAACTTGTGTCGAATGTAAAAAATGTGACTCTTATATTACGACATAAATTTTCGTTGCGTGTCTAACATGAGACGCCATAGGCTACACGTTCGGATTCCAAAAGCGGACCGAGAAACTTGACGTCATAATACCGAGGACGGCAACTAATACTTTAAAGTTCCGAGAAGGGCGAAGAATTTATCGAACCGTGAAGGAACATACGCGGAGGCAGATCCCCGTGAAACAGTAGCGAGGAAAGTGTTAGGCTTGCCACCGTTCGAGCGCCGCCATTGCGAACGGAGGAATCCGGATAGCCGAGGCACAACTCTCTTCATGCTCCTAATCGAGTGACTCGCACGACTACTATCAACGAGAACACACGAAAGAATAAAAAAAAAAACAAACAAACAAACAAACAAACAGGAATACAAAAACAATAAGTTCCGAAAAATACACATTTGGACCCACTTAGCGCATTACCATAATATCCGCTCACCAATTGGACGTCTTCTGAGAATCTGCGCGAATTCAGGTCGATGCTCAGTGGTGTCAAATCCAAAAATATTAGATTACGGTTTAGGTTTTTAAAAATATAATATAAAAATCACGGTCGAACAATTTTAAACATGTTAAATACGTGTAGCGGAATAATTCGCAGTTAAAATCCGATATTTCGCAGAATTTCTATTAAAAAATTCAACAAAAATCTATTATGTGTGTGTGTGTGTTAACAAACTCGGAAATAGATTATAAAAACTTTATAATTTTGTGAGACCATATATTATAATAAACATGGTTTCTTCAATATTCCGCAATGACTGACAACACTTGCAACACACTCCGTGTTGCAAATTCTTCTTGGACGCCATTGGACGAGCAACTGGATGATTATATCAACGAGCTTCGAGGGAAAAGAGCACGAAAGCTAGAAACCGCGTGACGTCGATCATCTCCGGGAGATTCGGTGTGGTAAGAGACGAGCACAAATTCGAGAGAGGAGTCGCATAGCTCGTTCGCGGTCGACGGGCTCGCATGTTACGGTGACGGGATCGTCGAGGTTCGAAGGAACGAAGAAGAAGAGAAGAAGGCGGCGGTGGCGGCGGCGGCGGCGGCGGCGGCAACGGCCGACGTTACTTCTCCGCCATCCTTCAGCGTTCACGTTCGCTCCGAGCTTTGCGTGCCACTCAACATTGGCAAGTAATTTCTTGCACGCAATTGCCCGCTACTGGAATTGCCTGGTAGGCGACCTCAGTCCGCGTCAGTCATTTACTTTTTAAATCGATCCTACCTGCTCGCCTGCCTCGCCTGCCCGTCCGGCCGTAACTTCATATACGACCGACCCTCGTGTGCACGCATGTGCGAGCACACGCGGCTCCGCGGCACGCGGAATTTCCCAACGCTAAGAGTCGATTCACGCTAGCTAGGCATTCTTCTTTTTGACGGGGGCCGTTTGACTCTTAATATCCCGTGTAATTTGTTTCGCCGCGCAATAGAAATACAGACGACGGCGATCTCTCCTCGAAGTGTGTTTCAGTAGAGGCGATTATTAAAAACCCTCACCCCGGGATATAAAATATGCGCGAATAAGTTTAATTCGGTATTTAATAAGACGGAACAATAATTCGTTAATTGCGCAGATTTGTTTCTCGTGTGTTGTTATTAACAAATATCGTAATACGCGGTAGCTTCTAAGTATATAACAACAAAGGACTCTGAAGCGAAGCGCTTCAGAGTACACACCGCGGTGTTATGGCGCTGGATTACGCCGCGCGTTAATTTTCTTGTCGAGTCAGCGGAGTCAGGATGTGTTCTGGGATGTTCGCTCCCCGTATCATTAAAGTCGCGAATAAATTGCTCGTCGGGATGCGCGGGGGGAGGGGGGTGGAAGGATTATCGAGTGTCGCTGAGCACCGTTTTTCAATCCTTTAGACTCTCCGCGGTAATGATTATCCTGATATTTAACCGAGGATCGAAGTGGCTTCTAACTCGGCGCATCACGCGACTCTTGAAAGGCGAAACTCAGAACCGGAAGGGATCGATAATCTCTACACGCCGTTATTTTACATACGAAATATGCGCGAAGAGGATTTCGCGTTAACCAGAAGATTCTGCAATATTTTTTATATCGCTGAAATGCAAAAATAAATATAATTGGCATAATTTGAAGAACGAAAAATTTATCGCAATCGTTCGTCAATTTTTATGACAAGAAAATAACCGGAGAAATGCTTGATGATTCAGTTATCTCGCAACGTTTTTTGTCACGTGAAATCATCGCGCATAGCGGGACAAAATGTAATCCTCTCACCAGCTCGAGCAGTTAAATCGGTCTGCGACTCTAATGTGAAAAAGAGAGAAGAATTATCCTTCGAATCGAGGCTACCAATAAGTAATAATTGTACGTTTAGCGACCGCGCCGCGCGTTTGCATTCGTGTCGGCACGACAAGTCGGACCGCCGGGGAAGAGCGCAGGGAAGCGAGGAGCAAAATGACTATATCTTAATCATCTTTGGTTATTGCCTTTCTAGACCGTGTGTGTGTTCGACTTCGCTCGTGGGAACCCGTCTCGCGTAGGTATATGTCGATGAGAAAACGTTTGAGATTTTTCGCGGGAAGCTCGCGGCACGCACACGTTTATCGTCCGATACATAATCGAAATATCCGCACACAGAGCTATCTTTGTAAAATGTTGTCTAATTTCATAAAACTGATTGCGTACAATTTTCACAGCGTTTAATTTAGAATTGAAATTGTTTGTTTGTTTTTTTTTTTTTTTCACTATCGAGAAACGCTCGAATTTCAGACACGACACGTTCCTCTTAATTGGACGTGTGACTGATACGACAAGATTGTTCGAAGAAATATGAACATGTCAAATTTCATGCATTTAGGGAGCGAGCCGTCGCGGAAAGTAATGCATGTACGTGTGAGAAATCGCGTCTACATGTTCCGCACCTAAAGCATTATCGACGCCTGTACCCGCGGGGAGAAACTGTCATTGATTGAGTACGGGATCGACTTGGAAGACACCGTGGAGATGCGTGCTAGCGATAAAACGGGCTCTTTCGGCTCGTTTATCGCGCAATTTCGTGGCTAATTTTATATAGCGTTTTTCTTCACCGATAAGCTAAAGAAACGTAAGATTTAATTTTGTTCACTTTAACGACTCTGTCGCGAATTTACGCTTTAGTTCAGTGATTTCTTCGAAAATTTCATATAATTTTTTTAATAAAAATTTATCATCGTGTGGAATATATAATATTGTCAATAATAAATTGTGTATGACGCGCATAAAGTTGGCGTGTTGCATCCATTTTGATCTTCCCATGTGCAGCAATGGATGGCGCCACTGACTACTTTAAACAATTAACTGTGTGAGAAAACTGGAGTCCAGGCGCACTTATCAGATTTTTTTCATAACTCAACACTCTTATTTTGTGTGCACTACAACTATCTAATGTATATTTGTTCAACATTTATTCAATGATTATTCGATGAAAACATCAACGAGGTTATCGGTTCTCAACTGCGAGATTTAAAAATATTTTTTCGAGAAATAATTTGCGTACACACAATGTAAAAAAAGAATAATCTATTCTACGAAATCGTTTTATATATCCGTGTTTTTATTTCCGCAAGTTTTAAATTTGTATTATACATGTGCGATACAAATCTCAATAATTTGCTACACTAAGTTTTCCAGCGGCAGTTCAGTAAAATTTGACAAAACTAATTTTATAGCTGTTGTCGTGACAAGATAATCTCGACCGATGGCGAGTTCGCGCCATCACTATCAAAAACTGTCACACTAAATTATCCAAGGGCGCTCACAGAGAGATAAGACCGAGAGCGCGCGTGCACTCGTTCTCGAATAATAACTTTTACTTCATCGAGAAATGAAACACCGGTGTTGTATAATTTTCACACAGTCATCGAGACACGTTTTTGCACACGCGGGTCCCCATCATCTGTGACAAGTTTTCGCACAAAATCGTCGAGCGATATTGCGAGACGCTAACTGCGTTCGGTAAGTTTTTTCTCAACGACACCAAAAGAATTGCGTTGAAATCATCATCGACAAGTGTCATCGGGTTATCGGGGTCTGACATTTAATGTTTAAATCAGCTTAAACACCGTGCAACTTGTTAGTTCTCGAGAAAGATGCGCGCATTGTACACGAGTCTCGTGCTGGCGATTCTCCTCGCGAATCTCGTCGGAGGTTGGTCCTTTACGAACGTGGTGACGTCAATTGAGAATCTAATTCGGCGACAAATTAACTCCACCGTGGAAGTCTCGACCGTGAATCCCAACGTTAATACGTCGAGGGATTCGGAGATCACGAAGCAGAGTCAGATAATATTCGTTCCACGAAGACGCAAAATTTACTGCAAACAGGGCGAACAGGTCGATCGTCGCGGCAAGTGCAGACTGGTGTGGTGAATAAAATCGATAAACAAATAAGCAAGGTACATATATATATGCATATTCATTCTACTAAGTCTTCTTAAGAGTCTTATGTGCGAGTAAAATTCATAGAAACAAGACCGTTTCGTGTGAAATGTACTTGATTATTTGAAAAAAGACACAAAAATAAAAGTGCAAAAAATATAAAAGAGTCTCATTTACGTATCTTCCAAGAATTATGTACATATTAACGTTTAAGAGACAGGAAACCATCGCTCAGACTGTAAACAACAGTCTGTTAATTATAATATCGCGTATGATAATCGCTAATGCTGCGCGCGTGGCAATATAGTGTACGATTGTTTGTCGCGAAGATGCGATCAGAGGTTATCAAGACTATTAAAGTCGAGAGAAGCAGCAGACGATATTTTCACTCTTAAAGTTTCTTTTCTTTCTCTGGAAATCAATAACGTAAAACAAGAATGTGTGTATCACGACTGCGGTTAACTTGGTTCCACACACATGGAATTTTCTCCGCGTTCTGTTTTTGGGTAAAGTTGATAACTTTTTGTCAGGCCATTGACCTCGCAAATGTTTTTTTTTGGAGAACCAACTTTATTAACTGATCAATCATTGCGCGCGATCGCACAAATCGCCGTTCAAGTAAAGTTCAAGATTTCGCCACGCAGTTCTCGGTATCGCAATCTCGAATCGATGAAAAATTCCGAATACGCTGCAGTGATAAAACCATGTGCCGGCTGATAAAACCGTGCTGGCTGGCGTCTTCGCGATACTCCGCGTCGCAGATAAAGCAACTTTTAAGCCGGTTTCAGCACAAGGTCGAACTTTAATTAGCCAGTTCGTTCGTTTCCGAGTAGTCTGCTGCTTGCGTTCGATTCGACGCGACGGCGGCGGCGGTGGCGGCGTCTGAAATAGAAATCAATCGTTTCGTCGTCAGTTTCGTTCGATCAGGCAATTCGCGATCGCGGTTTTCCGAACCGAGCCAACCAACGCCGGTCAGAAAATGCGCGATCCGAGCATGCTCTATCGCACGAATCGCGATACGGGTCGTATCTGAGAATTGTTCACGTCTCGATCACGTACGTTCCAATGGAATGCGCACTCGTCCAATAGAAATTTAAAGCGAGACATACTTATAACGTGCGTTTGTGACTAACGAACTCAACTATGTACTCGAGCACTGATAATGATTCCGGACCACATGTACGGTGAGACATGACCCAAGCAGTGCGCAACGAAGTGTCGACGTGCACACCGCGATATGTTACATTTTATTTCGTAGAAAGCACTCTAATGAAGATCGGCTATAAATTTCTCCGCGGCCTCTCTGTGCCATGTGCAGAAATTGCGCGTGATTACGTGTGTCTCGCGTGACTTCTCATCCCGGTGGTTCGTACACGTCGTCTGAATACTCGAGAAGGCAATTGGTATCGGGAAAGAGGAACAACTGCGGGATCTCTGCAATTAATTCAAAACGAACTGAAAACGCAGCGTGAATTGCGCGAAACGCAGTCGCCAGGAGAAGCGAAATCTCGCAAGCGGTTTCCTTCAATCGTTGATCGCGCGCTCTCTGTACACCGCGCTCGTATATATACACAATCATGAGGCTTTCATTAGCCATAACGTTCGCGATAGCGTTATTATTTTTCTTCCTGTCGGGAACGAGCACACGCTCGACCAAGTCGAACGTATTGCGGAAGGAAAAAGAGTTCCGGCGCTTTGATAGCTTTGAAGACAAAAAAGAATCAATCAAAGAAGGATCAATAATTAATGTCCCTTTACAATGCCCGCCGGAAAAGATGAAAGTTGGAAATCGCTGCAGAATTGTTATTTAGGTAAGAAAAAAAAAATACCGGAGATTTGTCGCGCTACGAGACAAACGTCAATAAGTCATCGCACACATGTTAATAGTAACCACAAACACACACGCGCGCGCGCGGATTATTATCTCTATTATTAAATCTTCAAAGTTAATTAAAGAGATAAAGCTAAAAACCAAAAGAATATTTTTGTTAATTTATTAATCAATTGAATTTTTTTTTAAAACCCAAAGTATAATTATGACAATTCTAAACTCTTCCCAAAAGTTCTTCCCGGAGTTCGAATTGCTTTAATTACATTTCGAATTTTTGGATTTTTCGTTACGAACTGGAAATCGTTTCTCAATACCTTGTAGAAATTTGAAATTTTTCCGTGTGTTTATTGAATATTAAGTGCTACTTATATTTGCTATAAAAGAATAAATATATTCCAAAACCGACAATTGTTGTAAATTTGTGCAAATCAAATTGCATGTATTATTTAATATTTTTCTCGCGTGTCTGCCTATTTATCACTAATATCGGGTCTTATGACGCATTGACGTCAGTCAAACACACGTTCGCAGTGTTCGCACTTATGTCTAGTTGATAGTATGACGTAAACTTGTGTGATTCCCCGACAAAGTGTGTAACACTTAAAAGTTTATTTCCTTCGGCGGAAGTTGCTAGAGAATCATCGAATATTCCTACTACTCGTCTATCAGATGTGCACGCAATCATCACTTCGTATCGATCTCTTTATAAGCCCTTCGAGTTTAAATATATACATTAAATCGCTCAGAACTTTAGTCACAGCTAAAGTCTATTCTACTTTCTTTTGTATAATAGTTCTAGTTCTTCATATTGCTGTGTGTAAAACACCTGAGTGTAGATAAACTCATGATGATCACTTTTATGTCTACAGTCGCAATGATAAGAACGTCTTTGGTTTTTTGTTACAGAATCTTCGTAGAGCTAGAATTGAACGACTACCATATATTCTTCTTTTTTCTTTCCTCCTCTCTCACGAAAGAAGAGTATTCTCGAATGGGGAGACACAGGAAAATTGTTTCAAAGAAAGAGCCGGAAATAATTACGGGAGGAAATAATAGATCTATATAAAATACCAATCAATAATATATAAGATCTATAGTCACACATAAAAAACTTGTGGATTTCCTTTGAAGCAAAATGTCACGACCAGATCTTGATTTTATTATCTATAAATACCACTCTATATTTGTTATCAAACACCTACAATCTGCACTGAGAAAAAAAACCTGGTGAATCGGAGATTTTTTTTTTTTATAGTTTTGAATTAAGAAAATCAAGTAGTTAAAAACTTGACTTTAAATACAATTTGACCGCGGAACAAACGCATCTTGTTATCATCACTTTTTTCTCAGTATGGATTTAATTGCGTTGTCAAAACAAAACTTTTATAGTATTAAAATTATACTTAATTAGAGATTAATTGTATTTTATAAGACAATTAAATTATCTAAAATCTTAAAAAAACTAAGTTTTCTGAAATTACTTGAAATATATATACAGATTTATAGAAATAAATATGACATATATATATGTGTACACATATTTTAACAATATACAAACTACAATACCACCGTATGTAATTAAAAATATGTGAAAAGGAGTTTAATATTCGTGTATATTTAATCTTGTTTTATCATGACTATCGCAAAATATACAAAACATGTCAAGCCGTAAATTACGCATTTTTTCCATCATCCGCATTATCTCTCAATTATTTTATTTGTAATATGTGTATGTGAGAAAACCTTGTGATTAAATACAATCATTCTCAATAGTTTATCACACTGCGGAAGTTTCGGATAAAACCTCGTGCGTAAGCAATCAGGATATGATTTCAACCGCCAATTAAGGGTGACAAAATGGAAAAGAGGCAGGAAACCACACGCTGATGAGGGGCTCTAGTTGTACATATATATATAAATACATGTGCTTTTATTGTGCCATTGTGTTATTAGCAAATTGACGCTACGTGAGCCAAGAGGAAAAAGCAAGCATTCACTTTGGTAATCGAAATAGAGTGCGGTGATTGAAAGATTGCGCATTATCTGTGACAATGGCACCAGCGCGATTGTTTCTGTTGATTCTCGTGGTGATAATGTTGGCATTCGCAAGTGACGCACGGCCATTGAGTTTTCCCAAGAGAATTCGAACGCAGTGTCCACCAGGCTATAAGCCCATTCGTTCGGGTGCATGCAGGAAAATCTTGGTCCCAGTCTCTTAAAATTAATTTCCCGTATATAAGGTAAACATATCAGAGTATGTTGTTCACCAAAACATATTCTTTGCTTTTTTTTTATTTCTTGTGTTCAAAATATTTCTTTTTTTTATTTTAAGAGTGTAATTATTCAAGAAAAATAGATAATGAACGTTTTATATTTGAGTCATTATTATAAATTGAAGTAAATCGATTGTTAATAAACAATTGTTTTCTTTAATTGTAGATAAAATGACACGGGAGAGCCACAGCAATGGAATTTGTGTCTTTATTCGCTTTATTAACAATAAATAACTTCACAAAGGTTCTAGTTTTTCTCTTTTAACGCGAATATACAATTAAATTGTATAGCTTATTGCAGAACTAATAAAAGTCTATATGTCTAAAAAAAAGTCTATAAGTAAAAAATTGTCAATATCGTGTTCTTATATACCTTCTTACTTATCGACTATTGAAATATATGTACTCATATATTACACATAAATTATTGTCATCTTATCAACGACAGAAATAATTAATTTACACTTTACCAAGTGAGTTCAAGCGTTCAGGAGCATGATATAACTGATAGTCGGTAACATCGATGCTTCGCGAAACCTACTGACGCAATGAATATCTTGAATCTCGAAGATAATTCACTTATTTTCTTATAGATAGCACTAGTAACATCAATATTATCAATGTGATATAAAAATTTCTTTATATTATATTTTTATATATTAATTTTTTTTCTAAATCTAAGCGATTCAAATTGAGAAACTCTTAACGAATCACGTAACTCGTTCTGTAATAATTTTTTTCTACTCGTACACACACTTATACTTCACACAATTTAATGTCTAGTAATATTAATTTTTTTTTTTTTAACACAAGAGTCTTTCTGCATCATTAAACAACTTCTCGCAGAAGTGCTACCTTGAGATGTTAATGTTATGAAAACCGATCTTAGAATAAGTTGATTTCATATGCAAATTTAAACGCCTACGTTGTTCACCAGGTTGTTCGATATATGTAAAAAAAATCTGTTGCTTATCGTATTTGAATATTCTAGATCATAGCTAACGAGCTGCGTATAAATTCCCACACAGACATCCATCCATCCAGACATTTATTAGACATCTATTAGATGTCGCATGGAGCTGTCGACGTCTAATAGACGTCTAATAGTGTTTTTCTTCTGTGTGGGTTATAATTACTATGTTTCCATTGACAAAGAATTTTCAAACATTTCTGATGATACTTAATCAATTTCGTTACGTAGCAACAATGGGGAAAAAAAATGTTACGTTCGCATTTCTTCAATCTGATAAGACTGAAAAACATCGAAAGAAATCAATGTTTAGGAATTCATCTAACGATAATCATACATATGCTTATCTAAGGCTTACGTATAATAAAAATATACGTGAGAAAGCGAGTGTATGAGATTAAAACACACGATTATATCTTGAATATAACAACATTTGCGCAAACTTCTCTCTAGAAAAGTTTCGAAGTAAATTTAAGCTGAGATAAAAATATGTGTGAAATTTAAACTTTCGAGTATGTTGCGCGGAGATACGCATTTTCTCTCCTGTCCTTCGCTTAAGTTTTAAAGTTCTTATCGTCTGGTATAGGCAATAAACTTTTTTACACTTTCTTTTTTAAACTGATAAATTAAAATGTTTTTGCTAACTTCCGGATTGAGTAATCGTAAATAAATTCGCAGAATAGAACTTCTTGAGTGATACGAACAGGAAGTGATAATATGTTATCGCGACCGCATCGTGTTTTTTATTTCACTTTCATCGCGATGATGTACAAAACGTTAAATTCAAAAGTCGCAAAAAAATTAATGAGCACCTCTTATCGCTGACACGATTCGCGACGAGTGCGCTCGCGGTGCGCGCCGATCGTTCACGCGTGAGGCAAAGAAATACGCGCCGAGGAGTGTTCGTCTCATCAGTCTATCGCGGCGCGAGCTCGTGGTGGAGCGCTCAGGTGTGCATTCGTGTTGCTTATCGTGGCGCAAGAGGTTTCACAGATTTGCGCCAGATTCATTTTCGCGAAGAAATCGAACAATCGCCCAATGTAACAATCGAGCGACATCGAGCTCTTTCGCGCTTTTATACCAAATCGTGATAACTGCGAGGAATTGTGTGATAACAATGCAACTGCAACGATTCGGTGCATCATATGAGTGCCAGATGTTGCGGGTCGGTGCGAAAATGTTCCTTTTCACGATTGTCATAATCTTCAGTGGATTCGTCGTGGGACAGGTTGCCACGCAATATCACGGTGATCCCGACGACATCGTCTTTCCGGGACCATTGAGCTCGAATTCGAAGGAAAGAGCCCTCAGTAAATCCGCGAAGGACTTGATGCGTGAAAGCAATGCGGTAAATTGGTACACATTGGTTCTGTTATTCTATTATCATCAAAGCGATAAAGATATGCACACACGCACACATGCACTGTTTATAAAATATAAATTAATTCAAACGCGAATTAATACGTTAAAAAAACTACGTTAATATACATTAAAAATATTGAAATCTCCAGCGCTAATTGTTTACTAAAGAGTCTTGTTAATTTTTGTTCAAATAGAAAATTATTAACACGAGAAAATCTTCCAATAGGAGGACTTATTTTTTTTAAACGAAGCTAAATATTATTCTGGATTAACAAATATATATAATGGTGCTAAATTATCGCTAGTTTGACATTTCATTTCACACTCACTTCGATACTTAATACAACTTCGAAAGTAAATTAACCGTAAGTATGACAGCGATACACAAGCGCGTTGCAACACCTTCGCTCCCGAGACTCACTTTCCGAAATGACGTACGAAGGCTGAGTTTGCCAATGTCGAGGATGTAATCGGAACGCGACACGTTTCTGATTCGCGGCACGTTACACATACGCGGCTCGATCTAAACCCGATCACATCTCACCTCGAGATCGTACAAATGTTCAAATATGTCTGATCAATTAGTTTGTTACGGATCGATAATTCCGTTGATTAAATCTATGCGCGCGTTAGCGCACGTAACAAGGAACAAAATCGCTAGATAATAATGCGGTTGAAAGATATAGAGGCGCGCGAAAGTATATATGTGTATGTAGCGCGAGATAATGACTTCGTAAATGCAACTGCAGAAACGACTGAATAAACAAGTTTTTTGTAGAGAGATCCTCGTGTCAATAAGAACAGGACTATTAACTATGCGATAATTGTAATATCGTCATCATTATCGTCACACATCTGAGTCACCGAGTAGCGAAATCGAGAATCAATAAAACATAACGGCGCCTAAGAGTTAAACCTGAGGCGCACAGCCTTGCCTCCTCGCAAGGTCGAGATTACCGCGAGACGCCTTCGTCCAAGGAAAAGTAGATTGTTATTCGCGGTCGGTTATCGTGAAGTAGTTTCTTGAGGTTTTCTGAGATTTTCAACACAGTGCAAGTTCGGAAATATTTATGCGCGCGACAAAGCTGAGATTTAAACAGAAAATCGTTCTTAGAAAGCGCACTCGCGATGTGTCTTCGGCACGCGAAATATTTCTCGATTATGCAAATCGTACTGAACGCTCGCAACTGGTTTTCTAAATCCCACGAAGACCGTGTCGCGCTCATTGTGTCACTAGGGAAAATATTTCTTTCGAAATTGATGGAGCAACAAATGCTTCTCGTGAGCGTCATTGTGCACGTTGTATAAAAAATGATTTCCTGTTGATAACAGAAAAACGTCATGTTAATTTTTTTCCGTTAATTAGCTTTAGACCGCCGGCATGACGCTGTATGGCATCGCTTCTATTGGAACGCTAATATTATACCGTATTTTAGAGAAGAGTTCTCTTTCGTCTGACTTGATTTGTGAGAAAAAATATTTAGAAAATCTAAATATGTTGTTAAATGGTGTAGTTTAGCTTTCGAATTCGCCGTAATCTAAGATGCAAAATTTATTTATACATGATTAGCTTAGTAATAATGCTACTGTGATGAAAGACTTTTGCAATTCGACTTCAAAAACGTAACCAGCGACATAAAAAACTCTTAGAAAATTTTTCTCACCATTTTTCAAAGTTTGAAAATTTGATACTTTTCACTTCACTTAATATATACAAATATGGCGGAAAAAATACCATATTTTTAAAAAATACCGGCGGTCTAAAGGTTAAGGAAACTTGTTTAAGGTCGTTCGTCAAATTTAGATACAAATTGTTTGCTTTTTTGTAGCTATGTATATATCTCACAGTAAAAGAATATTCTCGAAAACCTGTTTGAGAATCGTGATCTGAACCTACAAGCAATTTCGCGCTCATTTAAAAGCAGTGGTTATCAATGATTCACACCCTACTATTTTTTATTCTTTTACATTTTTTTTTTTTTTCTTAAAAGCATCGAAAAGCCAGTGATCTTTTGAATACTATCTAAACCTCTTAAAAAGAGTTACTCGGACAGCTAAACAACAAGATTATTTCTACGCGATCACATTCAAGAAAAGTGAATTCTTTATCTCTTCTAAATCCAATTTTTTGCATTCTTTGCTTTTGAGATTTCAGTAATATGGATCATTGACCGATGTTTGCCAAGATAATTTTCTCCTTAGTCACACGAAGTATCCGCGCAATCGAACAGGATGATTCACATTTACGGGAATACCCTATCGATTTTTATATATTTATCCTTTTGATCAATATTTATGAGAATGCATCGCGGAAAGAAATAATTACCTGCCGTGGATAATTATTTCTTTCCAATCATCCAGCACGCATTTAACACTTATTATATTTTATCTCTCTTTTCGATATCTTGTTCTTATCCTTGATAGTTTATTATATTGTTGCGCACATAGTATTGAAATAATCTTGTAAGAAATTTTAATTACAAATTGATTGCTCATACTGAGTTTTCCAGGATATTTAGCGGCCGCAGACATAAAATAACCGAGAGTAATATCTGTTAATATTGTCTCAATAACGAAATCCTTAATTGTTTTCAACAAGTCACGAAATAAGCGGCAACTAAGTTTATCAATAGTGACTGCACCTGTGATTCATCGTCATTGAGCTTTATCGCTATCGCAGATTTGTAGATTATTTTTTAAAGATCTTTTTAAGTGCGTGTTACGTAGGTAGAAAAAATAACTCCACATACATACAATATACGTACTTACGATAATATACGTTATTTTCAGATACCAGTAAATTTAGCCGCTAGATTAAATTCCATAGATTCAGTGGATGAATTCATGCAGCTTCTTCAAGGTGTTCCCGAGAGCGAAACGCGTACGTCGTCATTCTTATTCAGTAAGTGCATTTGATTGTCGCGTTTGTATATTATTTAGAAATAATAATCTCTCGAGGAAACAAATCAGTCGTAAGGTAGAAATAAAAAAAATCACGCTTATTCACTGCAAACACCAACTTATTATTTCGTAGCTAAAACATTTTGAATAAAATTCTGGTAATATATTTTAATTGAATACAATATCTCATTAAAAAAAAATTATTACTTATATTTTAATTGCGTCCTAACGTGACGTTGAACATATCATTTAGAAAAATCAGTTGTTTATCGAACGACAAATCCCGCCGCACAGTGCGTGTGACAAAATCAATATTTTCTACTTAAACACAAGAGGGAGAGTTAAACTGTAGCGGTGTGTCTTCTCATTGTTAACACAACCGCGCGGTTATCAATGTAAACCAAGATCATCCCGTAAGTCTACACGCAAATCGTACGCTACTACTAATTATTATTAACGCTAATATCATATCTCAAAAAATTAATCGATATCGTTTTACGGTGAAAATAAGAATAATTTAAAAGAATACTTTATAAAAAAATTATTTAAAAACTTTTACTCAACATGACAGAGCGTACGTCTGTTGTTGTAAATAAATTATTCGTCCTGCGTCTGTTACTTTCTGTGTAATAGATTTACTCTTCGACCTTACTGTACTTACAATAAACAAGTTTGTGAATCTGAAAATTGATATTAATTGGTCCTCTAACTGAATCATCGACACCGAATTTGTTCCCCATGTAACGCACGTTAAGCGGACGGACGTCATGTTTTTTGTTCTTGAAATCTTCCCAGTTAAATGTTTTAATATAGTTTTTCAATTGTAAACGGGCCTCGAAAGCTTTCACCTCGCTTAATCGGGTTTCGTCAAAGCTTCTTAAAGGCTTTAAGTAACCGCCAAAATGAGTGTTCGGTATCGAGTAATACCAATTTGCCAGCACTTCATCCAAACTTGGTATTTTCCTTTGTGGAATTTCTATTATCTTATTAGGAAATTCACTTTCTTCTGTCTTCGGCGTACGTGAGCATTGCTTACTGTTGGTTAAAGGCGAATATGCGATCAGAAGTGTACACTTCCGCTTCCAGGATTTTTGTTCACACAAATTTGTCCAGTGATACGCGAATGGAGAATCTAAAACAATCCAAATGTTTTCTTTATTAAGACATTGAATAAGATTGGATTTTACAAACAATGTTTTTAACATTTATATAAATATTAGTACCTAATAATAATCAACATTTATTACATAAGTAATATTTATTATTTTGATTCTTTTTAAATTTTTCCTATTTTTTCAATTTAATCTTTATTTGTCTAACTAAAATTTTAATATTTAATATTTATATGTAGCTTTATATTTAGCACTGTGACTTGGTAAGCATTTTCGTGTATGTAATTATTATTGCTGCGTATTTCATTGTAATTTTCAATTAAATATCGATTTAAAAATTATATTATTATTTCTAATACCTTTCGACATATATTGTTTCAAGTACCGCATCACACCAACCGCCTGCACGTATTTCATCGAGTTAGCAATAACAGGTCCATCTCCTTGACCGCACTCTATGGTGATGGCTGTACTGGTTGATGGTGCCATTTCCTCTTTCAATTCTGCCCTATTAGTGTTCTGTACCGCCTGCGACATAATCTTGTACTCGAAGAGATTACGAAGAAGCTGGTCGTCGAGATGATAACTTTGATCCTTGATCTCGGCGTCGATCTTCTCACTTTCGCTTTCGTCGTCGCTCAGACATTGTTCCTTAACAATTTCACATATGTCGTAGTCTTCCTCACTCACGAGCGTTGTGACGTTCGAATCGCTGTTTTGCTCAACATCTATCACATTCTTCATTTCACCGCTCGTCGACGGTTTACTCTCGTGCAGCGAATTCTTGTTGCTCGCAGATAGTACAGTATTACTGTTCTCTTCCGTTCTCTTTGACATCCTACACGAAGAATAATATCGGTTTTAAATACATTTAATATAAAAAAGAAAAAAAATGTTACAAACTTCCGAGAATAGAATTTAATCGCTAAATATACGTCTCTTAAATCCGGAAGTGTAACTAACGAATATGCACACAATTTGTTCTTATAATTTTAATGTCTCACCCATGTATATAGTTTTCAAAAGTCAAATCCGAGATTGGTAAAATATTTTGAAACGAATGGGATTCCTGTTTCATTTTGTTTATAAATTTAACTACTCGAATCTTTCCCGTGATTGTCCTTCCATCGAACCACACGAGTTGCACATCATCCGCGAGGAGATCTCCGAATTCGGGGATTATTTTATCGGCAAATAACAAATAATGATTTACAACTGAGACTGCTTCACTGGTCATTTTCGTGCTGTAAGAAGACAATGACGATGTGCGTACAATAGTATGTAACAATGATTTAATATGATTAAATCGCTTATCTTTCAACAATTATTTGCGTTATGATTAACAGATTAGATGTTGTCTTACTTTCTTACAATAACACAGAACAATTACTTTTATAGTTGTTTGCACCGTTTACAATTATATTACATGGTATATTAATAATAAAAACACAGTTTTGTAAAAAAAAAAAAAAACACGTAAGCGAATCTCAACAGGTTTAAACAGTCGTAAGGCGAGAGAGTGAGTGAGCGTGCTGTTACATTGGCGGCTTCTTGGAGTGAGCCACGTGCTGACCAAAAAGCAAAGCAAGTAAAAGAGCCAGCCAATCACGTAGCGAGATTGACCATTAAAAATCGATTGAGTTAATCGATTCGATTTCTCGCATCAAATTCGATAGTATTTAAATTGATATTAAATATTTTCTCAAATTAAACATTATTTTTATCAGGTGGCCAAAAAACAAAGAAAGGGATAGAGAGGTTTAACAGGAATACTGACAAAAATTCCTTTCAGGTAGTAGAATCGGCGAGGGCCAGGAAAGATCGAACGCAATGACGCCGCCGCAAGCAAGATGCATGCCGGAGCTGCAACCCGTTTCTCTAAAAGTGGACAACGATCCTTCGGTGATCATTTTCCCATCCTGCACAAGAGTCAACAGATGCGGTGGATGTTGCGGTAGCACTCTGCTCTCGTGCCAGCCAGTAGCCACGGAGATCAGAAACTTCCAGGTAATCGATTGTTCTCGAGATGAAATATACGAAATAAAACACCCCTATTATTACGAACGCCCAACTGGTGAGACAACGATTGCTGAACATCTCTTTTTATTTCGTCTCACTTTCGCGTTTTGTTGCTCAGGTGATCGTGTCGACGATAGAACTACAGTTCCGAGGCAAGCGAATTATCCCGGTTGAGGAGCACACTAAGTGCACGTGCGACTGCAAAATGAAGGAGGAGGTAATTTGACAACAACCGATAATTGGCGGATAATCGGCGCCTTCCTGCTTAACTGGGCCGCGAGTTTCACACCTCGCGTATTATCTCGTTGCATCGTTTCTTACGCGCGACGTGTGTTTGTTGATACAAACGTGCGTGCCGCTCGGCAGAGAGCGATTTACGTCAGTCAACCGGCGCACGAGCGCCTCACTTCCGAGTATCTCGACAATGCTCGAAAATGCATTAGAAATGCAGAAGCGACCTGCGATCCGACGACGTGAATCATTTTTCACGTGTGCGCGCGCGTGCATCCTTACTTCACATCCCGCGTCCTTCAGATTCGTTACGGGAGATTGACGTTTCAATTACGAGATATTATATCATCGCGGATGTATATATAAAAGAATCTTTTGAAGTCAAATAAAGTTGTACAAAAAAATACTAAATACTTGTTACAAAACGCGTATCTCGAACGCTCGGGAGGCAATTTGTAAGCGGTAACTTTGCATACGTAACTCAAATAAAACGGCGATTTCTCAATGTATCAAGTTTGCCAATTACGTTTTATACATGGCTACAATTGCCGTTTCCTCGCGTGAAGTGTGTCAATGCGGACACAGGCAAAATTTCATTCGTACACAACGTCTAAGCGCGCGTGCGGCAAGATGTTGATAAGTTTTTTTTTTTTTTTTTTTTTTGCTGATGATTCACATTTCGCTTTCGTCACTTACTGTTACGTTACAGCATTGCAACGAAAAACAGCATTACGAGCCGCAAAACTGCATGTGCATCTGCAACAACGTCGACGAGGAGGAGAAATGCCGGCAGAGCAACGGCACGAAGATCTGGGACGCGGGGAGCTGCGTCTGCTCGTGCAGGAACATCGAGCCGTGCAGCACTGGATATTACTTCAACCACAACACGTGCAGGTGTGAGCTAAAAGAATAGGGGAAATCCGCTAGAAGAACACCTCTCTCTTCTCTCATTGCACTTTTTTGTTGTAATATGACGACTTGTAATCCGCGCGCGAACGCACCGATCTTGTTCTCTGCTCATCGAAGTGCTCTGGACTAGTTTTGGTCGGCTTCGTTTTTCGCGAATTTTGCAAGTTACTCACTCCTTTCTTGCATCTTCCTTGAATGAACATCAGACATCCCATGTCTTCGTTTAAAATTTGGGTTCTTTCCTCTCATTTTGTATACAGGGTTGTAAAATGTCTCTCTTTCTTTCTCTCTCTTTCTCTACAAAGTCTTGCAATTTTGATCAAGAGCACAACAATGGAAACAAGATTCGCTTTCACCTGGCAAGACTTCTACTTATATTCTAGTTGCATTAAACCACACAATGTGACGTGTACTTATTACTATCTCATGACGTAACATTTAAAGGTGGAATGTGTCCCGTACTAACATCTGCCGCTTTGAGGAAATCGTTACTTAACGATGTAATAACCCGGAAGAAATCTTTTTAAACAATCGGATTGGATGTATGTACATGTGAATGATGTCCTGCACTGTTGACGCAACTTGGCACGAAATTACTGTTACGTTTTCCGCAAATTGTTTCGCACATAACTCGCAAATGTGTTCCAGATGTGGACCGATAGGGTTGACTAGACCATTAGACAGGTTCGCATCCACGAAAGGTACGAATTACGATTTCTCTAATCGTCGGCCGCCAAACGTGCCGCCCGTCCAGGTATTCCCGTTGGACCCGACAGATCCTAGAAGGAGGCACAAAGAGGATCCGGAATACAAGTAACAAGAATTCGAACGGACGCACACAGATTACAAGACTGCTACGAAACGCACCTCCACCGTCATTTTTGTTAGTCTGTCGTTACGTAGACGAAACTTCTCATTATAATAATTCGTTAATCTAGGAATGGGAAACATCGATTTTATTCCATTTTCCTTCTTTCAGATTGTACGCAATTGTTTCGTGTACACTGAGAAAAAAACTGCTGAATCGAACTGATTACATAAGGTAATCAAAGATTGCCAATCAATTATTCGTCATACTAAAAAAACATCATGTTATTTTAAATCTTATGAGCTTGAATTAAGAACCAAGTAAACTCCAAATAATTATCTGCAACTAAATTATATTTTCTTGACGTTTAGTGTTTTTTTATCAGTGTAACTGTTACAATGACTTGAAATTTTATAGACAATGTCAAATTTTTACGAAGTTTAAATACATCGGTTTCCAATACGTTTAAGATATTACATATTCTAAAACTCTTTTAGCATTGGTGCGTTTGAAATGCATAAAATAATAAGATACTGAATGATGTCATTCTGTTGCTCAGTGGTAAAAGGAATGTAAAAATTTACATTCTTTTACACATATATGTATTTGTAATATTTGTACTTCCACTTTTGAGCTTATGGAATGCCATCGACTTTTCTAGTTCCAGGGTGTTGCCTTGTTGAAGTATTACATATGTTTACTGAAATAATATTGTGATACAAATATATGAAAGGAATACAAATGTGGTCATTCTCGTTCAAACACACAATGTCATTTCTGTTATAGAATTATTGTTCTTGTATCCATTGTTACAATAACGTAGCAACTGCTCATATTATTTGGTTCCACTTATCACATAAGACACAACAGATGAATTTACAATGCAACATATGCAGGAGAACTTTTTTGATTGACATCACAGACACAGACATTACTCTTGTTAATTAATATTTATGTCTAAGTCATTCTCATATATACAACAATATAAAGTTCTTAGTATTAAGTACACGTGTATAATATTGGACAAATACAATTGTTGTACCAATTACTGCTTTCTTGTAACGGTTATGTTTTCTAAATCCTGTAACTCCTTTTTCTTATTACGTTCTTCACTGTGCCGCAAATACGTGACTACAGATTTGTTGACTCTCAAGATATCACTGTAACTCTCGCTTATAGATTTAACAGATTTGGCTATATCACCTGAAAAAAAAGAGAAAAATATTTACATTCTAACGTCCATGACGGTATCTTGCGTTAAATTGTAGTTTTCAAAGTTTTTTTTCTTAAGAAACGTTAATAAGATCTATAAGAGATCTTACAAAAGCTGGTTCTCTTATTAGTTTTTACTCTTATAAACGACAGATATATAAGAAATATAATTATTTGTATACAACATATAATTTTTTAAACAACATACTGATAGAAAACGCAATGTCTGCAATAAGCGATTCTTTCGTGACCTTGGTCCGCTTCACTGGCTGTTCCATTGTATCAACATAATATCGAATGTCGTCACCAACCACACAGTAATTGCTTTATTTTCAATTTATAACAGTTCTTATCAAATTTGTGGATTATGTAATTATTTGTGAATTGTATACTGTATATTTGTAAATATATTTGTATATTTTGACTTTCCACTTGTCACTGTGTCTCTCACGCAAGAAAAGGCGGGAAAATAATCAGCTGTTCGGCCATGTTGTATACACATACATTGATCATGTACATGTTGGTGTAAGGTAAAATTTGACATTCTTAACTACCAAATCTAATTTCAATAATTAAGACTAGTAATGTCATTTTTGATAATATTCAAACAATTCGAGTTTATTTAATTAAAAAAAAAAGAGTTGCACACTTGATGCAAATAGTGTCACTCGCCATCTAGCGATAGAAATAAGAAATAGTGGAATCAGTTGAAGCAGAGAAGACTGAAAACGGCCAGAGTCATATAATAAATTACTAGCTTTTCCGACCTGTAAGCTAGCGCTGTGTTCATGGGTGGTGCACATGGGCAACTACAGGCGTGTCCACGAGCGACTTGTCGGTGCGTACGCAATGTGAACATGGTTCTATTCCGCGCTATAATCACGACGTACTGTGCTATCCTGTTCAAATTCTGACAGGTTGGGATTACATTTTGACCGGTTAGGTTAGGTTAGGTTAGGGTTCATATCTCTGTCGGTTAGGTTAAGTTTACACTTTGATCGGCTCGGATGTGAACGTTCCCAACTTGTCAGAATTTGAACAGACTAGCACAACACAGGCGCGCGCTACGCGCAAGCTATTGTTATTTTTATTTAACGTGTTGTCAGTGAACACAACCTGTCACCGTGATGACAGATAGTATATACGTCTTATAAACCATATAATACACATATGAGAAATGTCAGAAATAACGCATGAAAATCAAACTCAAAAAATAGTGAGAGAGAGAAGTAAAAAAACAACACGTGACTAAAGGCACGTGGAAAAGGGTAAAAAAGATAATATTATATATATTATTTGTAATATTCTATATCTATATATAATACACACACATACGCATATATGTATATATATATATATATATACCGTAATCACGTGACCGAAGTCAGTAACACCGCCGCAGTCGCGCGGCCGAGGTCAGTGACCCTCCCCACCAGCGCCGCGCGGCCGAGGTCAATGCCCCGTCAAGGCCGCGCGGCCGAGGTCAGTGACCCGCCCCCCACCAAGGCCGCGCGGGCGAGGTCAATGCCCCGTCAAGGCCGCGCGTCCGAGGTCAGTGACCCCCCCCACCAAGGCCGCGCGCTCGCGGTCAATGACCCGCCCCCCACCAAGGCCGCGCGGCCGAGGTCAATGCCCCGTCAAGGCCGCGCGGCCGAGGTTAGTGACCCCGCCAAGGCCGCGCGGCCGAGGTCAATGACTCCGCCAAAATCGCGCGGCGGAGGTCAGTGACATTACTGTAGTATGTATATAATACATATAATACAATATAAAGTATAATATAAATATATAATAAATTATATGTATATAATATGTATTATTTAATGTTATATATAATATAAATTACAGTCACGTTATTTTCACGTGTTGTTTTTCTACTCTTTCCTGTCACGTAACTTTAGTTACGCGTTTTTAAGTTTCTCTACATATACGACGAACTGTCTCAAAATCGCTTTTCATTATTCACTCTCTCGATCTTACCAATTCGATTCGACTCGATCAACCAATTAACCAATCGGCAACGCGGAAAAGAGGCAACAATAACTGCGACTCCATATATTCGACTTCAAACGCGCACTTCTCGTATAGGGATAGCACTGTACGTCGTGGTTATAGCGCGGAATAGAACCATGTCCACGTTTGGACATAGCGCACGCATCGATAAGTCGCTCGTGGACATGGCTACGTAGTTGCCAATGTGCACCACCCATAGACATAGCGCTAGCTTACAGGTAGAAAATGCTATTACAGTTTTTCATATGGTTCTGGTCGCTCTCAGTCTTCTCTCTGGTTGAAGCAATTTCACAGGCAGCGTGCGCCATCTAATCTGTTATTTCGCCTTCTCTACCGATAGATGACAGACGTTGCACTGTGGTCTTGTGAAAAGTCGTTCTGTTCAGAATCAAATGCGATATTACAAGAGAGCAATATTACAATTGAAATAAAAAACATTAAGTCTTCAGGTATGAACAACACTTTTGTATACAACTTAAGAACTGTTTATAATTTATATATATAGACAGCGGCGAGATATTAGAAACAATTCATATCATTGGATAAGCTGCAAGTTGCGTCAAACATTTCGATACATTGTTCTGTTTTTATTCCTCGTTAAATGTAAAAAAATAAAAGATGCTTTGAAGCATCTTTTATTATTTTGCTGCACATTTGCAGAACGACTTGGACGTTACCCAATATCACCTCACAACAAGTGAGAGAATATACGATGATGTTTTTAACACAAGTTAAACAATGTTGCGCCAATTTAAATATTGCTTAATAATCGGAATATGGAATATCAAATTAAGCAAATTCTCAATAAAATTTATCTGTCTACTAATAAATAAGCACACAAATTTTTTTTATATTAGCTAAATATAAAAAAATTACGGTATCATAATATAATTTTTGGTGTAATATTGGTATAATACTGAGTAAGAGAGAAAGAGAAGAAAATTCAGAGATTTATTGTTTTCGTTGCACGAAAAGTGATTAATCAAACCGAACAATGCCGAGACCAAATTACTACCCTTTGTCGCAAGGTTATACATCTGATTATTTATAGTCCTTCGAGATATTCCGCAGAAGTTGAGGCATCGATCCGCATCAAACAGAGTCAAACGGTAATTGTATAATTAAAGACTTTGCAAACCGACTTATACGCTAATTATAGACTTGCAATTTTCAGATATTGTTACCGCGTGTAATTGATTCGAAGTTCATGATTCAATGATAAGAGCACGAACACCGTTTCTTTATTGCGATTAAATCTCGACCATATTCTCGAATTAGAGAGAGAAAGAGAGAGAGGCTGAAGAACCTCTTTTTAAAATCAGAATTAATTATATTCGCGCATTCCTTTTCTCCCTTTCTCTCTCTCTCTCTCTCTTTTTCTCTCTCAGAGACCGTTTACAATGAAGAAGTGATAACCTCGTGTCAAAACGAACCTCCCATTTTTCATATGAGCGAAAACTCTGAATTTTACAATTAATTACCATCGAGAGAGTCTGATACACACACAGTTTGGTACACACAGATATTTATTAATTTATGCCTCTCTCCGCGAAGTATAATAACTAAAATATCTAATCGCTCATCAACCCTGACTGATGTTTATGTCGAATTCGCACGATCTTACATTTGTTTATGTCATATGCGTATACATTATTGCCCTATCTCGTCGAGCAAATTTGGTCCGCTCGCGGGGAGCGGACGCGCTTAAGATTCGTCATGATACCCGTGATTAATCATTGGACTTCTCTGATATACACTCTTAAAGATTGCTGGCGAAAAGGGGGAGAGAGAAAACAGTAGCCGCCCGACTCCGGCCGGTCGGCCAACTGGCCATCCGTACCACGGCGCCATTTTTTTGCGCCATCCGTTATAATTGCCGGGGCCTTGTCACTTTTGCCGTGGCGCGGGCCTTGCAGTGAGGTACTCTGGTGTATGCGTTGCCCCGTGCCCGCTTTTTCTCTCTCTTTCTTTCTCTTTCTTTCCTGCACCGAGGCGGCGGCTTCCTCAAAGCGATCAAAGCAGTGACAAGGAGAGAGGATAGAGAACGAAGGATCAGAAACGAGGTGTACGATGTGCCTCGACTGTCCTCGCGATTGCGGATCTTCGACTCTTCTTGGACGAGATACTGCGAGGTACGAAATGTCACATTTTTATTTTTATTTTACACGGATGAAATTCAAAAAAAGTCCCTGCGTGTTCCGCACAGGATTTTATTATTACAATTATATAGATTGTGATTATATATAGTTTGTATATTCAATATATAACAATGTTGGATCTGATTGTATTTTTAGTTTAACTTTTTCAATCAATATTTTTGTTCGCGCGAAAATTTTGACATGAAAGACTAGGTTTAGTTTCGCAATATGGAATCAATAAAATATCAATATTTAATTGCAAACTCTCTCTTCTCTCGCGTTGTAGTTTCGAACACTGTTCTCGTCGGTTTTATACAGGGACGGGTAACGCTTAAAATTCAAAGGCGATCGACTCGGGGCAGAGTGGTGGCAAAAACTCGTGCCTCGCCTGCGTATTTTACGCCACTTTCTTGCGTGTACGCACGCGTGTAGGTATCTTCCTCTTTCTCCCTTTCCCGCTGCCTCTTCTCTCAAGGACTGTTCCCGCGCGGATGGCCCACGACAGAGAATGAGAAGTCCGGCGATCGTAATACAGTAGCCGGCACGGCGGTAGGTTTAAATCATATTAAAGCACGTCCATGCGTCTATTTCTCTCTTCATTCTCCTTCCTTCCCGCCCCTCTCTCTCTCTCTCTCTCTTTTTCTCTCTCAAACATAAGCCCGGATTACGGACGCTGCTCGTTCTACGC